CGCTTTGAGGCTGTCATTCTATCCTAACAACAACAACGTGCGCGTATATAGCACCAACCCCCCCCCCCCCCCCCCCATGCAGGGAAGTGTCCCCGAGCACTCGTGTTAGGTGCTGTGTTAAGTGTGTTGCTGCCGCTGTTGTTATTGCCTGTGGTGGTTGAGAGGAGCTGGATGGGGATGGGGATGGGTGTGGTGCAGAGCAGTGAGACAGGCTGACTGACACAGCTGGGAGTTGGTCGGGGAAAGGGGCCAAGGGAGGAATCAGTTCAAAAGTTTTTTTTTTCTCTCTGCAAAATGTTTGCCATGGAAATAGTGATCCGGCAAGGAGGTGGTGTCCCAGCAAACAACAAGTAGGAGGATACAGTACTGACTTTAGTGCTTTTTTTTTCTCGAATAAATCTGTTACTTCTTCATTTTCCCAATTAAGGCATAAAAGCCTGAAAAGCAACACCCAAACTGTGTGCGTGTGTGAGAGAGAGAGAGAGAGAGAGAGCCTCAGCTGTCTGTGCAGTCACTAATCGTCACTAATTTTATACCAAAAGGTAATAATAATAATAATCCTATAATGATAATAATCCTTGCATTTGATATAGCGCTTTTCACGTCTTCTCGACATCTCAAAGCGCTTCACAGAATATGCTGTAAAGTGAAATGACCGTATATTTGTGGGCGAAACGCGGCAGCCAATTGCGCACAGCAGTCGTGGATTGAAAATGACCAATTCATTATTGTTTTGTTTTGGAGGGATTATTATTAGGTGTGTGGAGTAAGGAAACCTGCCCAAGGTTTCGCCCTGTATACCTGTAGGTATAATACTGTAATAGTAGACATGATTTCTGTCAATGTACCAAAAAACAGATCATCTACCTCATAAATAACAAACCTTCTATTAACACCTATTACATTGAGCAATACTGAAGTATTACAGTACTGAAGTTATCGTGTCCCATGTTGGGACGTCAGAGTGCTTCACAAAATGTCTGTCATGCTTAGTGACCGTTCGTAGGTAAACTTAGCAACCACTTTCCATACAGGAATGTCCCACAAACAGCCATGAAACAAACGGTCAATTTCTATCACCAGGGAAAACTCGCTTCTCTTTTCAAAGAGCACCGTGAGATTTTTAACCGTCCACCTAAACAGTCAGACAGGACCTTGGTTTAACGGTTCACCTCTGATATCGATGTCGGTCTCCCCCAGCACTGCTTTGAAGTGTCAGCTTAGACGTCCCAACATGCGACAAGATACCTTCAGTATTTTAATGCGATAAGGTGGTGCTCAGGGATTGGAACAGGCTGCAGGTGCTGAATCAAACATAATAATAAATAATAATGATGATAATCCTTGCATTTGATATAGCCTCTTATCATGTCATTGACACGTCTCTATCTTGGGATTTCCGCCTGACGTGAAAGGCGCTATCCAAGTGTAATTTGTTGTTTGTTGTTCTCTCAAAGCGCTTCACGGAATATGCGGTAAAGTGAATTGACTGTATATTTTGTGGGCGAAACGTGGGGGAATTTACATCACATTAAGCCTTCTTCTGGCTTCAGACCCAACCTCCAAGGAGATCCTCTACCACCCTCACTGCTCCAGTCTGAAATGTCTCTGTTTCCCACACTAACCAGCCCTAGGAGTGAGAAATCTCCTCTGGGCCCAATAGGAACTGGGCTGGGACTGATCCAAGACCCTTCTCTCAAAGGGCCTTCATAGCCAACGGATAGACAGACAGATGGGCAGTCTGGGATGGGTTCAGTGCCACGAGGTGCAAGGTTGGTGTGTGGTAAAGCCACGGTGCTAGTCAGCCACGGAGCCACAGAGCTGGGTTTGCTGGTTCTCTCTGTACCAGCACTAGGCACATGGCCGAGTTGTATTTGATGGGTTTGGGCCCAGGCTGTGTATAAACAAGCATTGGCACGCAATGCAGGCAGCTGCCTTGGGACAAAGCCCTTCGATTGTAGCTGGCTTTCTGCAAAGCTCAAAACATAAACAGCTTCCCCCTTCCCCCTTCACTTGTTTAGCCAACACAAGATTCCCAAATCCCTTTGCCTCTCTTCCTCTCCCCGGACCCTCCGAACCGTTTCGCACAAGCCACAGCAGGAAACGCTAAGGCCATTTGCCGTTTAATTTTATTGCCATTCGCCTCAGATATCTGAAACGTTCAGGATTTCATTGAAGAATTCCCTCCGTGTATGGGTTCCACATGTTTTGTTTGTCATTGCGTGTTATAGCACCAAGCTGGACCCACCAGGGACGTGTCAGCTTCAATCCTCGGTCGATGCTGAGTTAGCTTGTCTCAGTTCGTTTGGCGGTTGAGACACTACAATTGGCTTCTGTTATTCTGGAAAAGGGAGGGGGTAAAAATAACACTTGCAGGGTTCATGCTCTCATCAAGGGACCTTTGGGTGTGACCGTCTGGGGAGGGAGAAGGGGAAGGCAAGGCATTGTAGGACACCACGATTCTGTAGCTTACAAAGAATCGGTCATTCACCCCATAGCTCATTGTGGGATCCAGCTGCAGTCAAAATGGCTGCCTTGCTCGCCTTGAAATAGACCCCACACACTATGTTTGGCAATTAATTACCCTAAAAAAACACTGAGGCCTTTGGACTTGCTTGATAAATATATGTGCTTGAGTTAAAACTGGAACTAAACTGGAACGGCCTGGGGGTGTGGGGGTGGAGAGGGGTTAAGTTGGTTAAGGTTTCAGATGACTGTTGAACTGAATTGAGCCACATTATCTGACCTACATCAAAAAGCCTTGTCTCTGTGCTCGCTGACTGGAAATGAACTCAGTTCTGAGCTCATTGTGAGGACGGGAACTGTTAAAATTGACAATTAATGTTGGATTCGGCTCACCCAGTTACGCTCACTTAATTTTCTTTTCCCTTTCCATTCCAAATGAGATCGATGACAAAAGTACCCCCCACACACACCCATCCCCGTTGCATCACAAGCACAAACCATCTTAGAATCATAGAACCCTACCGCACAGAAGGAGGCCATTCGGCCCATCGTAGCTGTGCCTGCTCTTTCAAAGAGCTACCAATTAGTCCCTCTCACCCCGCTCTGACCCCAAAGCCTTGCAATTTTTTGTTTCAAGTATATAAAAATAATCGACTCCTCTAAGCAAATAACGAGCCACAAGGCCAAGAACCCGGAGTTATTCTGAGATTGATCATGGCAGAGGAGTGGTTCTCTTCGGAATTGAGTTGGCAGCTTTGGTAGTCTTATATACCTAAGCCAAGTAGGTCCTCAGTAATGAGGAGCACTGTTGACGATAGGACCATACAGCCTGGCCCCATTAGTAGGACTGAGAGGGGCAGCTATCCTAACCTCCCACTCCATTTCCTTCTCTGATGCCATTGCTCTCCCCTCACACCAGATAACACTGCAATAGTACAGCACAGAGCTCAGGAGCGCACAACATCCTAGACTTTTCACAGCCAGACAGGATCACAAGAGCAGTGAGCCGCTCCTCTTAAGTGAGTCAGTTCAAACAGTTTAATGCTGACGTCAGGGATAACTGGGTCGCTGTTCTCTGGGAGTGAAGAACACAGAGGATAATAATAATCCTTGCATTTGATACAGTGCCTTATCATGTCTTTGAGACGTCTCAAAGCGCTTCACAGAACATACCGTAAAGTGAATTGATTTGTGGGCGAAACGCGCAGCCAATTAATTGCGCTCAGCAGTGCCCCACAAACAGTCATGGATCGAGAGACCAATTTTTTTAAGGGATTATTACCCCCGGAAAAGCAATCCACCAATTGATTAACAACCGGATTCCTACTTACTGCTAGATAAACATAGGCGTGTGGAGTAAGGAAACTTGCCTAAGGTTTCGCCTTGGCCGGGAATCAAACCCAGGTCCTCTCGCTTGTGAGGCACAGAGCTCTCCAACCACTAAGCTGCAGGACTCCACAAAACGCTGAGAACATGCTGATTGACCAAAAGTCAGCACAGAAAGGAAGCTCAAGCTTAGCAAACGAGGTGAAGCTGTTTTGAGGTGAAATGAGCTGTCAGAGGGAAAGCAGCCTCGATTACTGCACTTAACCAAAATTCAAAGAGGTATTACCACATGTGAAATCATATCTTACCCCCACCAGGAGTTGAGAGGAGAAACAAGATGGATTGCTCCCAATCCACTTGACACACCACAGGTGATTTATATAAATTGTAAATGTAATGGGTCAGAAGTGGGTGGAATTAACCCTTTGGCTCCTAGAATGGCCCAAACAATGTTTGCATCAACATTCAAAGAAAATTACCATCACTTGTATCCGATAGAATCTTATCTTGCTTGTCATAGCGCTTCACACAATGAGTCACTTTCAAGGCACTGGTGGTTTCACAGACACACAACAGAAATGTGTGTGGTATAAACAGCAATGAAATTAATGATTAATTAAACCCGTTTCTTTGGGAAGGAATATTGGCCAGGAGGCAAACATAAAGCTGCAATGCTGATTTACAGTTTTAAGTCACTACGACAACTTGCATTTTATACAGGGCCCCTCGCGCAGGGTAGCAGCCCAGAGGGCGACCCCGCGTTAGTGACGCTATATAAATGCAAGTTGTTATTTATGAGCTGCTGTATGTATATCGCTTCACACAATCACTCAGGTATAATCGTTCGCCCCCCCCCCCCCCCCTCCCTGATGCGGAGCCTTGCCTGAGACCTTTATATAGAGGGCCTCAATCATACTAAACAGGCAGATCACCATCAAGTTACTAAAGCCTTTATCTTAAGGATATATGTACTGCACTCTCCCGAGTATTGCAGACCTCCAGAGAGGATTCAATCCTGTTTTCTATCAAGTCCTTTGAGACCATTGAGTTGGGCCCCATTGGGGCTTAAAACACCCAACCTTCTAATGCCCACCCAACTGCAATGCTCAACCTCATATCCCCCCCGAGCCCCCCTTCCGACCCCCACCGCCCCCCCCCCACCACCACCACCACCAGTTTGCAAATCACCAAAAACAAAGATGAAAAAGTATGAGACATAATACTTTTATTTGAATATCACAGAATCGTGAGCAATACATATTTGGAATGTATAGCAACTGGGAATCGCACTGTTCCCATTACAGTATATAAATAGAGCATCTTTCTTTTTTGGAAAAAAAAACAGCTTGACACGGTAACAAAAACGTACATTCCAACACGAATGTTGTAACAGTTTCACGGACACTTAACTATTTACAAAAAAGGTTTCTTAAAACGGGTTTGCATTGCAACTGCAAACACATGACGACACTCGGAGAGACCCAATATACTGTGTGTGCAGTATACGCCGAATAGCTGTAGAGTCTCTTTCCTTTTTTTTGCTTGGGTTGGTCTGCGTTTTGGAGCCAGCTTTTATTTATTTCATGCAACCGGGGTCTTGACAAACAAACAATCTCTTTGACGGCGTCGTTGTTTGTTTGTTTGTTGGTGTGCGTAGCAAGTTTGACACAAAACATGCAGCATTATAACATGTTAACGTAGCAGGGTTTCTTTCTTTTTTTTTGGTCGATGGGAAACTTTTTCTTTTCGGGGGGGAAAAAAAAACGAGCTTCACGTAAAGTCACTGCTGATATGCACCTCAATACCTCAAGAGCACAAAGCCTTATGCTTCGGTGTGTTTTTCGTCTCGTTAGGAAACAAAACAAGTTCTCAAAGTCCCAGCCTCGGCTTCTGAAGGGCCAGCACAATCAGCCGCATGTTCCAAGCATGATGCACTGAATGGAGAGTTTGCACAGAACGTCCATACACACAATCACGAGCCTCTCAATAGGCTTGGACCTGAGGAGTCAGTAATAGTTGGCAGCCACTGTTGACGTGCGTCATGACTTTCTGCTTGAGTTGAGCGACCTGCTCCCTTAATAGGCTGGCGGTGGAGGCCAGTTCAGAGTTCTGGGATTTCAAGTTCTTAACTTTGTCCTCCAGCCTGGAAATCCTCTCCAGCTTCCTCTTCCTGCATTTGGACGCCGCGATCCGATTCCTGAGCCTCTTCCTCTCCGCCTTGATCCTCTCCTGCGTGTCCATGTCGATGGGGGAGAGTGGGGGGCTGTCCCCCAGCCCGGACACGTCGGGCACGGTCTGGGGCTCATCCTTGAGAGCTTGGAGCCTGGACTGCTGGCCCAAAGGATGAGCCAGGGGAGGGTAGGACACAGTGTCCGTAGCATAGTTAACTGTTGTGTTGATTGATCCGTGGTTGAAAGTGTTCAGGTTGGTGTAAATGGGAGGGTCTTGGTGGATGTTACCAGAACTGGCCGTAGTGATGCCCCCCGTGACCGTCTGAGGGCAGATAATTCCGTTCAACTGGTTCTGCTTGTGGAGGTCTTCCAAAGCCTTGACGAAGCCTTCAGCGAAACTGTTCTGCTCATCGGTCACCCCCTTGGGGAAGAGGTTCTGACCGGGCGTGGGGCTGGTGGTCACCATGCCGCTGGATTGGATGATGAGGCGCTCGAGGTCGGGCGAGGTCAACTTGAGGAAGCCCAGGTCGGGCGAGGTCAGGGTGCCCTCGTGCTCCCGCAGGTGAGGCTTGAGGTTGCTGGGCGACACGGTGAGGTTCAGGCTCAGGTTCTTCTTCATGATGCTGGCGCTGGCGGAGGCGGCGGCGGCGTTGCTGCGGCTGCTGTTGGCGGTGTTGTTGTTGTTGTTGTAGGCGTTCTGTCCAAATGCAACGTTCAATGCGTCGTCATGATAGAAGGGTGTTTCCATCATCACGTGAAAAACTCCTGGAAGGAAGCCTGGATCCCCGGGGTAGGGGGTGGAGGAGGGGTAAATGATATCGGTCGGGGGGTGGGGGTGGCGATAAAAAAAACCACCAGCGACCGCAAGGACAACCACCACCACCACCACAACAACAACAACAAATCCGCTGCTCCTTTCACCCGCTGAGGATCAGGGGAAGGTCCTACTCCTCTGGCCAACCTTTATGACGGCACCGCGGAAGGCTTTCTCGTTGCCCGGGTTTGGTTCTCCGGTGTATTTATTCTTTAACCGCTGCGGCAGCAGCAACAGAAGAAGAAGAAGAAGAAGAAGAAAGTCGGGGCTCAGTTTCCCTCCCGACTTCACTTGTCTCTCTCTCTCTCTCTCTCTTCTTTTGCCCCGAGTCGGGGACCGAGTGAGTGAGTGAGTGAGTGAGTGGTGGTCTCGGGAGCAGAGCCTCTCTCTCTCTCTCTCTCTCCCTCTCTCTCGGGTACACAGCGAAGTCGGTGCAACACGAAACGAGAAGTTCTCAACTCGAGACCGTAGAAAAGGGGGAGACCGGTCCCCGGGGGGGGGAGACTCTCTGTCTCCCTCTGTGTGTGTGTGTGTGTGTGGGGGGGTCTCCCTCTGTGTCTCTGTGTGTGTGTGTGTGTGGGGGGGGTCCGCAACACCAGATGTCTTCCAAAGCGATGCCGAGAGGGAGGAGGAGATGGACGGACGTACGGACGGGGACGGGGACGAGAGCTGAGAAGAGAGGCAGTGACGGCTCCCGGTCACAACAACAACAACAACAACAACAACGGTCCTTCCTCCCAACGAAGGAGCACAAGAGCGAGAAGGAGACGGACGGTGGAGAGAGTGAGGTGCAGCGGCTCCGAGTAACGAGCCGAGCAGAGCCGCCTCCGGAGTAGTAACGGCGGCTGTGGCTGTCCCTGTGGTGCTGCTGCTGCTGCTGTGTGTGTGCGCGCGTCTCTCTCTCTCGCTCCGGCCGCGCCGCTCTGGCCCGCTCGCCTCCCGCCGGCCGCCTTTTATCCCCTCGCTCACGTGCTCCCCTCCGGGCCATGATGTCACCGGCGCGGCTCCCCATTGGCCCCGGGTGACGTCGTGGCCGCTCTCCCCATTTGCATGCGGCGCGGCCATTGGCCCGGCGTTGCCAGGGGCGACGGGATGTATACTCCAAAATAGCGCGGGGCCTTGTGGGGTGACGTCATGGCGGGGGCTGGGGGGGCGGGGCCGGGAGGAGGAGGGGGGGGGGGCGGCACGTGGCTCCTTAAAGGGGCTTTGGGTCACCACCACCACTGTTGCTCTTTCTCTCTCTCTCTCTCCACACACACACTCCCTCCCTCTCTTGGTGGGTGGGTGGGTGGGTGGGGAGAGGCTCCACACCCAAGGTCCCCCACCCACCCCACTCCCCCCCCACTCCCCCGCCCACCCACCCCACCCACACTGCCCTGAGTGTGGATTTCACCCCCACCCTCTCGCTCCCTCTCCATTTCCAACCCCCGGCCAGAAGCCCTGAGGGCTTCAAGCTGACGTTAGCTGTCCTCGCTTCCTCCCGCCTTTTATCGCGCCTCTCGGTGTTGATTAGCGTTAACGGTATTCACATTCATTTTTTTGTTCTGGGTCGCGCTTCAGGTCGGACAGCACCCACCACCCCCACCTTCTACCCCACCCCACCCACCCACCCACCCACCCGACCACACCACTGGTTGTCAGACTCCGCCGGTGCGAAGCGCTCCGGGACGCTCTCCTTGGTGATCCCCGGCGCTCTGGTTGGTGTTCGGTGCTTGACTTTAGCGCCAACATCTCGTTAACAACCAGACGCGTTTAGGAGTTCAAAGGGTTTAAAACTCGAACCGATTCTGACTCCACTGCCTCCAGCGATGGAAGCCACTTTATATCTTTTTTTTAAAAAAAAATATGAAAAGTCTCTCCTCCATTCCCTGCCTGAAAAACTGGATTCGCGGCTCTTAAAACGTTAGAGCTAAGATTTATGATCGCCGGGAGTGGCACAGATTGAAAACACATTTTAAACACATTCTGCAGCTGGCTTTATTTTTCAGAACAAGTTTTTTTTTCTTCTCTCGAACAAGAATGAGATATTTTCACTCCGAACGAAAGACACTTGGGCTGATTTAGCAAATACCAGGGTTACCATGGTTTGACTTCCTTCATAACACAGTTCCGATTTTCTTAAAGAAGCAGCTGTCTGTCGTGTCAAAACACGGTTAAAACTTTTGTTTTGGATGTTTACAAACCCATAACACATGGATGATGTCAATACAGCACTGAAACACATCTCGGCACTTGTGGGCGAGGTCAGCCCGATCCAAAAAAAACCACACAGCTACTTTCCCCCCCCCCCCAGAAAAAAATTACTTGCCTTTTTTTTTGTAATAGGAGATGGATTTTTGGGGGTACTTCTGCTATTTATCAACTCTCAGTGACATATAAAATATAGATACTTTTCCTGCTCTGTTGCCTCTGGGTAGTGTGCTGGGTTTTATCAATAATTAAAAATAACAAATTAAATTAAATTAAAATAACATTTGATGCAGCGCCTTATCACGTCATTGAGATGTCCCAAAGCGCTTGACCGAATATACTGTGAAGCGGATTGACTGTGTATTTTGAGGGCGAAACTCAGCAGCCAACTAATTGCGCACAGCAGCGTCCCCACAAACAGTCGTGGATTGAGTGACCATTATTACTTTTGGAAGCTATCAATGATGTGTTCTGTTGCTTTATTATTTACAGGGACTCCTGGTGCAAGTGGTGTAACGCACTTCCCTGAGTTACTCCCCGAGTCGAGTCTCTCGTAACACCTGGGCTGTGTCTTGGGCTGACGAGCAGCTGAACACATGACGAGGTAGTGGCGAGGGGCCTCCTTAAAGAGATGCAGTGCTCACATCAGCAGAGCCTCGTCACAGTTATTTATAGACAGAGCAGAGGTCTCGGCGGCAAATAGAAAGCGGCCGAGCCGCAGAGCTGCCTGCTGAATTATTCCACAAAAAACACTGTTTGTTTAAACAGCTTTCAGCTTCGATCTAAAGCCTCGCCTCTGTTTAACCCTTTACACCCCACACCAGGAACAAGACCTGCTCAGTGTACTGTAAATGAATAAACATGTGATGGGGTTGTAAATGATTCATTCTCATACTCCTTATATTTGATACAGTCGATTTGCATATAGCAACGTCCCACAAACAGCCGTGAATTATTCTTCTTTTTTTTGATCTGGAGGGTTTCAGGAGAAACTGTGGTGGGGATCTTAAACCTGACGATAACTTGCATTTACATAGCGCCCTTCACGTGGGATAGTGCCTCGGAGCGCTTCACAGCGACGGGGTTGGATACCGAACTAGCAGATGAAATCTCAGTTTAACAGGTGAAAGGGATGTATTTCCATCTGGTCGGTGCCACATGGATCTTGAGAATCAGTAATTTCAATACACACAGGTAATCTCCATTTCCCTGCAGGATGTAATAGTCACAAAAAGACGAAAGGGGAGTTTAGGAGAAGTTTTTCCACGCGCAAAGTTATTCGGATGTGGAATGAATTCACGGCCAAGTAAATTGGTGGAAGCAGAATCCCTCTTGGATTTCAAGAGGGAAATAGACAGGTACATGAAAGAAGGGGAAAGGGGATAAGGCAGAGCAACGGGATTGAATAGATGTCTTTCTCTGAGAGCCGGTGGTGACTCGAAGGGCTGAATGGCCTCCTGTACTGTAATGTTTCTCCAATTCTAGGTTCATCCCTCTTAGGGAGGTCTAGGAAGAGGTGGAGACCTTGGAACACAATGGAGAGAAACAGCGACGGCACACATGCCTATCAGAGAAATGAAAACACCTACAGCATTACAATGTTTTCACCTTATTGCCTATCACCCACAGTATGTGTTTCGAGGAAGAATGATAAGAATATAAAGATTTCAGCAATAAACAGGCTGTTGTATGTTTGTTTACCAGAGCCGCTGAGGTCTATCAACTTATATGCATTGAATGAAAAATTGCTGATAATTTATAGAATTTAGATAACCTTTCACCTCTTGAACTTTCATAACTACAAACTGCTTCAAGCAACGGTAGATAACAAGGTGATTGGCGAGGACTTTGCACACAGGAAGCTATAAGCATCTGGTTTGACCCAGAATCGCTTGTGCTCAATAATAAAATATTCCTTGCATTTGACACAAGAATGTCTCAAAGCATTTTGCCTATTTTCTGTAGTGAAGGCAACAGCCAATTTGCACACAGCAACGTTCCATAAACAGACATGAAGTGAGTAACCAATTTTTTTCTGAAGGATTTTTGGGCAGGATACCAGGAGAAACTCCCTCGCCTTTTCAAAGAGTGTCATGGGTCATGGGATCTTTAGCATCCAACTGAACAAGCAGATGGGAGCCTGGTTTAACGTCTCACCCGCAGGACAGTATCTCTGACAACACAACGCTTTCAAAGCACTGGAGTGTCGGAGTTCACAGTCCCAATGTGGAGTGAACTTGGGACTGTTCTAGTTTCCTGCGGCTCACAGGCACATCCCAGATTCTATTTTGTTAATACGGTATAAAAAAACACCAAAGGGAAATATCCTGCGGGGACTGAAGGGACCCGATCTTTACTACATCAAACCATGGGGCTACAGGAGTGGCAACTCTTATTGTAAAGGTGAAGGTGGATCATTATAGTAACACCAAGCTAAAACCTGGTGTACATAGAGGCTGTTTGTTGTGTGCTGCCTGGAGTCCTTTGTTACAGAGCAGCTCTGCTCGTCCGCTTAGTGCTGACAACACGCACAAGGCCAACAGTGGGCGTGAGCTCAGCCCTTCCCTCTCCAATCAAGGGCCTCTTCCGACTCGACTGCAGCAGCACTTGTACACGCAGGCAAAGGGATCTGCAGGGGCGGACGGACGTCAGGCTGTGACGTCAAGCCAGCCGTCTGCCAAAGGCCCGGGGGCAATGCGGAGGGAGGAAGAGAGAGAGAAAGCAACAGAGAGAGCGAGAGAGAGAGAGAGAGAGATGCTGATTAAATCTTTCACTTCTAAGGGAAAGCCAGAAGAGGGGGAGGAGGAGGAGGGAGGGGAGGGGAGGGGTGAGGCTGTAAAATTTATGGACGAAACGGAAAAGATTTGAGATACGATATCTCTCAGCTTTCTGGGCAATAAGGCTAATAAACAGCAATGATCTCTGTTCACAGAGAGACAGTGTGTCAATGGCAGGGGCAGGCAGTCCTTTTATGGGCTTGCTATCCTCAGCTCCTACATATAGCCTTATTTAAACACAATCCTATATATAGGTTTGAAGAAATGCTTCCCAGGATAGCTCCGTTACCTATATTTAGCCGGGTACTGGTAGTGTATCACACGTGTGAGATTGGTGACGATTTTATGGTGCTTTATTTCAAAGGACAAGAAATGAAGCTACCCCCTCCCCACCCACCCCCCAACTCTCCCTCCTGAAATTCAATTCTCTGTGAAAATCCTTACTGCTTAGCGATTGCCTCCTCTCCACCCACAACAACAACTTGCACAGCGCCCCTCACGCAGGTTAGCGTCCCAGAGCACTTGACAGTGGTGGAGCACGACACCTAGCCGGGGGGAGGGGGGGGGGGTGACGCTAGGCACGGTCAAAGAAGAAGGTTTTCAGGTGTGAGCTTAAGATGGGGAGGGGAGAGGCAAGGTGAAGAATCGCCTTTCGATCAAAGTGTTTAATATCAGACGACAATATTAAGAAATACTTCAATGTTGCACTCTCACCTCAAGGTCAGAAGTCTAAGGGTTCAAGCCCCTACGTTGGGACTTGAGCTCACAGACCAGGTTGACATTCAAGTGCAATCAGTACTGGTGTGTCAGCCTGGCTCAGTTGGTAGCACTCTCTCCTAGGAGTTAGTAGGTTGTGTTTTCCCGGTGTCCTGG